ACTATTGACAACTCTATTTCGGGTCCTTTGTCCTCCACTGAACCAATTATTGGTGGTATTTAATTCAATGCTTGTTTGAAGATCTTCTTCAACTACTTCACCTTCCGGGATTATCGTTATCAAAATAAATAGCAACATTATGCAAAATAGCACAACTATAAATTATTTTTGCAGCTTTTAGTCGGTGATCGTGCAACACACGATGTCTCAGCAAAGTCCGAAATCTGATTTTGAAAGCTCCATTAAACCGCTCATTACAATTTCGTAAGATTCTATGCGTTATCCGTGCACTTTGTCTAAAAATATAGTTAACATTTTAAAAATGTGTTTGAAAAGCAAGGTTAACGTTGGTTAAATCTAAACGTCACCTATTTGGGTCCCGTTAAAATTTAGCTCTGATGGTTAGCATTAACCGAGGTGCATACAGAATACTATTTTGGGTTATTTCGATCATCTGTTGATTTTAACCATATCCGGCCCGCTATGATTTTAGCGGATAGATTACAAAATAGACCCGAATGTGTGATACGATTTTTGTTTAGAAAGTCGAGGAGAATTAAATTATTGACTAACATACAGGATGTTCCATTTAAGAAAAAAGAACTTTGCTAATCGTTTTGCCGTAGCTTTTCCACCGATCATGTATACAAAATTTTGTTTTGTGCAAATACACTGGAAGTAACATTACAATTTTCATATTAATCGTTTTATTTTAGGTATCTTAGTTTGAGAAATAATGCACAGTTTCCATAGATAAAAGCGACACTGTATATAAAAACTACGAGTACATGTAACGGGAAATGATCTCAGTTATGTTTCTTCGGTTAATTTTTCTTCAATTAAGTGTTGTCTCATCAAGTGAACCCAATTATCTCTATCCGTATGTTAATATAATAGTAATGTCGATAATTTCTTTCAATTGGTGCGTGAGGGTTCTCGTCACTCTACCCGTGCATATTGAAACGGTCATTTTATCTCGGCTAAAACCGCCCGAAATTCTGATAAAACCTTTGCCTGTTTAAGAGTTTGGAACCTTTTAATTTCAAATCGATAGTTATAGTCTTCTTTTTGAAATAGTAATTTACGAACTGTTAAAACCCTACAAAGTTTCAAGCCCTTTCGTGATATCAAATTCGTCAAAGTCATTTAGCGGCGTTTAAATGGAAGTTGTCTTACTTTGGCCTGTAAACATTTTCCTGTAATTATAAGTAATTTCCAGTTTGTGAGAAATATTTCTTATCTTATCACCAATTAAATATGGGTATTGAGACATTTTACGTTGTTAAATGCTTCTCGTAATTACAAATATTCTTCAACACATAAAGCCCTGTGTTCTGTTAATCCTTTAAATGAAAATAATTTTGGATATTTTACAATATCTAACCGAAGTCGAGTAACTTAAATATGATTCTTGTTTAGTAAGCTAACTGTAAAGACGCAACACAGGGACAGGATCAAGCATTAATTCAGTCATGGAAACTATTTGAGACTTTAAACACATATTTTCCTTCACTTTAAATTTTGAACGAACGCATCAAACAATAGTTGAAGATGTGGTCCATCCTTCTCAGCCTAACGGTTTATCAAGTGTCTTACTATAAAACTGTGCCGAACTAAGCAAAATACCTACCAAAACTGTAGTTGTGGCGCGACTGTAATCTTATGTGTAGCTGTTGCACTTTTCTCATCTAATGAGAAAGACCGGCGAATTTATAGTTCCACTAGTAAAATACGTTTTTTCATTGGCGTTTCAATTTTATTTCGTACTTTTGTTTCTTTATAATTAAAAGGGTTGTTTTCAAATTTATGATGAGCTTAGAGATAGACAAACGATTTTCATTCGCCTGAGCATTTAGCAGCTTTTATACATAATTTTTTTCGGTACTTTATAAATACCCCAGACAACACCTCTAAAGTAAAATTTATAATTTGCTACATATTTGCGACATTCCTGAAGTATATCCAATTTTTGGTTTCTTTTTAATTTGTAATCAAAGTCAGCATTGTTTCCGATTTTTTTTCAATAGTTCAATTGTTTTAATGGTGTATACTTATACATATTTTCGATAGCTATATTTTCACCGGTTAGTCTAGAATTGAAATCCTTATGATTAGTACAAGTGGAATATCCTTAACTTTATATTTTAAAAAATTAGTTTTGCACGTTCTCTTAAAAATTTTGCAACAAAAATATTTTATTTGAGCAATAATGCTCAATAATCAGTTTTCCAAATATTTGTTAAGATGACTTACCATATCAAAGGAAAATAATTACATATATGTTTAATTTTTCTTTCTCAGTAAAAATCAACGCTTCAATAAAATATTGGATGAAAATAAAGTGATATATTTGTCTTCATATATTTCCTGCAATTAGTCGATTACTACTACTGCCATTATTAATCGATTACTTTCATACTATACGGCGTGTTAATGTAAACATGCTTTCAAGGCATACTCCTCTCAATAAATGACAAAAGAAATCTAAATGCTAGAATTAATTTAATAGAAAAATCACTAGATTTGCTAGTAGTAATAATTGTTCAAATTATTTTGGTGGTTTGATGGTAAAAGTCGAAAATAGACGTAGGTACTCCGTCGCACACAATGTTTGAGAGAGTTGATATTGAGTTATTGAGAGAGTTAATAAGTCTCTATTAGATAGTTATTGGAAATTAAAAATACTTTCGTGCAGTGATAAGGTTAATCCTTTGATTTTGGGAACTATTCTATATTAGACAGGGAAAAAATACTTTAAAAGATGTTTAAGTAAAATGATTTTATATCACTTAATAATACTGCAAACAAAACTGCCACGCAGAGCTTATTTTTTGTTAAATATGTTTAAACACAGTTTAAGAAAAAATGCTCGCATTGCCCACCTTCCTAAATAGTGTAGAAATTCTCAAATAAATACTATACGTTAAGCTTTCAATATCTCGTTTGCTGCCACTGTGTTATACATATATACCAATATTACCAGCAACATGTTATACACAATATTACAAGCAACCATTAAAGAAATAAAAAAGCATTATCTATGTGTTCCGTGGACATGGGGGTCCGTTTTGACAAGGAGCTCTTTTTGCACTGAATAGATATGTTTGTAATGTTTTAGTATTTCCCTCTTATACCTGTTTTAATCCATAGCTACTACCGACGCAAATAATAGTCTTGTCCATGTATTAATTTTATTCAAGTTAATTTAATTACAGTTTATAAGAGTTTATAACAGTAAATAGCTGTAATGCCCCTATATGTATTATTTAGCCTTGAAGGGGACCAAATACATTGTCGAAACGTCGCCTCTTTCAAAAACGTAAAGAGTTTCATTCCAGTGGCCCCAAACCCACTAAATTGAACACCACATCTATAAATTGGGGATGCTAATACTCAATATGCCAGCTACAAGAGAACGTTAGAATTGTCAATGCCTGGTTGTGCATGAACAATCACTTTATTCTTACCACCTCCAAATGGTACGAGCTATGAATCCAGACCCAACCCAACTCGAGATACATTTTGCCAATGATCGTCAAGGAGAAAATCTGAATTTCTCAAAGTCACTCTTCTTTACAGACGAAGCTGTTTCCAGAGAAGGAACTTACTACTGAAATACTCATGTGTGGGTGATGAGATCCCGTATTCTACCGGCTTGTGGACCGGGATTGTTGGCGAGAAACTAAATTATACCGACTCGCTTATGCGGACAGAGTAACTTAAACCTTTTGCATATTGATTTAGAACATTTATTACAATCTCCATTAGAAGTAGGTAACTACCTGTAAATATGTAGTTCGAACATGTTTAGACCCTGATCGACGTTCTTTGAAAGTTGGTATTAGTAACAATCAATATGACTGTTTATTTTCTGTTCTTCTTTGTACCATTAATTGGCTTTGCTTGCCTTCGATGATGAAAAAATATTGGACTGAACTCTCACTGAATTAAACAACAACCTTTTATCTACACTTTTCGATTTAACTAATATGTAACAGGATGTTTTTAGATTATGAAAAATACAAATTGGCAGTTTTTATAAATTGATTGACAAAAACAAAACCATTGACATTATGGACCAGTTCCGAACATGATTGACAAAAACAATTGACATTATGGACCAGTTCCAAACAATAACCTTTCATGAACTATATCAACGGTTTCAAGATTTTCATTACCGTACGAGTATTTCATTATTTTGAATATGGTGATACTCCACTTTCTTCAAGAATCTAATATTTAGCCGAAAAGCAAAGCCAAATACAAAGGAAAAAATATTCAACTGATTTAGATTGTTTTAAAGTCAGCAAACTTAAAGTAAATAACCTATTTAGAAGGTTTTAATTTTTATTTCAGTATGCTTTAAAATGTCAACTTTACAAATACTTCAAGATCTATTTCGGTAAATAGGTATTTGGAATTACAAAAATGTAAAACTCGCTTAAAATGCATGTTTCAGAAAATATTTAAAACGCACTGAATCTTCAACCAACTAGTTATGAGTTGCAAGCATTGTAATGATGATTCATGGTATAGAAAAGCAAATTAGCAACACTCTTGTCACTCATGACGTATAAAGGATTTTTCCTGTAGTCCCTTTGCTGACATCTTCAACGACGTTCACAATTTTCGAGCCTTAGTCATAAAAAAACTCTTAGGAAATCCGTACAATGCCCTGATATATTCCATTATCTCTTCCCATATTAAACCATTGCGCTAACAAAAGAGTAGCAGCACCCGGTCAATTTATGCCTGCCACCGGTTCCAGTCCCACAACATACATGTATAGAACATGCATGCTGAGCTGTCATGTCACACACAGTAGCTGACAGTTGTACCTTTCACTCGAATTGAAATGTTGCCCAGCAATGGTGGCTGGATGCTGCCCAATGGCAGTGTCAACATCCCGTAGCCACTCGAAAGCGCGATTTCTATTGGCGAGGGGCCAGCTGCGCATTAGACCGCTGAACTGAGTGTTGCGTAGCCACTCCTAGAGGATTGGCCTGAGCCGATTGGGAAGCGTTTGTTATAGGTTTAGTTGCGCGAGGTATATGTCAGGTGAAAGTTTGTAAAGTGGGTAAAGTTTTCCGTGCGGGTTTTTCAAAATCGGCTATTCGCGTAGTTGTGCAGTTTTTAAAAATCTATTTGTTGTCTAGTTGTCGTATGATTCTTGATCTAGTCAGGACGGTGCGTTTTCAATGAAGCTGCTAAGTGAGAACAGAAAAGTAAAGAAGTGGAACTACTGCCCTAAAAAATAACATCACTATTGGTACACACTTTATATGAAAAATCGATCCGTTTATTTCCAATGGAACCATTTTCACCCTGACATCTTAAAACGAGGAATACCATCAAATAGGGTGGCCAATAAAACGACGCTGGGCTCTGTGCTAAGAAAACGTTAACATTTTTCTAAACAATGATCATGATGGACGTTAGTATGTACGGTCAACATTCGGCGCCATCTTACAACTCCGCAGAAGCAAATTACTACAACTATAGTAACAGTTCGGTTAACAGTGATCATTCGATGGCACCTCACCATCAATATTCCGGAGGTAGTGCAGGTGGTTATATTGGAGGAGCTGGTTATCCTGGAGGAGCTTCATATGAGGAAGCCACTTTTCTTTATGGTGAGTTTAAGCAATATTGATGATGCGCCTTAAAAGCATTAAGGCACTCTCGGCTGTATTCTGTAATGCAAAATATTTATTGATTGGTTTGACCACATTTCCTAAAAGAAGTTGCAACATAGGTATGTGATGATCGAGTTGATTGATCGGGACCCGGGAATATATTAATGCAACGTTTCGGCTCTATCTGCGACAGGCATTGCCCAACGCGTCCCAAAAGTTTGGATTGACAAAGATTTGCCTTGCATGTACCTAACCTTCGTTGGGCGTTCGGGTAGCGTGCTTTGGATTCAGATCAAATAAGTTTATGTTTTTTACAAAAACTACGTATTCATATATAAACCTGACCTGAAAATAATAATTCCGTTACTCTTAGAAATGGATCGCCAGCTAGTTTATAACCGCAAGTAATTAATTTTCAGCATGATTATTTTAAAGTATTTTTTAGTTACAAATATCTAACGCAATGCCATAAAACAATGCCTACACCAAAAACAATTGCCGTCTAGATGCTAGTGTCGGCTTTAATTTAGCTAAAGACACAAAATTTAGTCTTGCTCACCATGCCCCCCCACGACTTTACTACCGTAAAAATGTATAGAGTGATTAAGGTTGAATTTCGATAACTTCGGGAATCGATAAAGCATGTTAAAATAATGTCCCGCTTTACCTTCAACTTATGAACCACTTACCAACTTCAAATGCATAAGTTTTGAATGTCTTGTTATTTATTTTTTCCTTGAAAATTAATTATTTTGGTTGCACCTGTTGGATGTGGATGTCGTCAAAAATATATACAGGGTGTGTTTGGCGTGATAGCAAACATACGGCTTTACATATTGTTATATATTATATACCTATGTGATACATACAAATGTAACAGATTTTTTTGTTTCCGTCATAGGCAATAATGCACGATGAACCAAAACATTCAATTTGCCAGATCGTTGTTATTCTTAAATGGGATCAGTTTAGTTACGTTACATTTGAACGCTCCGTATTTTTAGCTATATTGTCCATTAATAATTCCGTTGTTACCAACTAGTCGTTCTTCGGCAATGATACAAGCTTCCATACTCCGGCTTAATCCACTGGAACAAACAGTTCGTATTAGGACATTAAGAGACATTAATTTATTAAGATAAATGTGTCTAAGTATTCCTCAAAGCCGTTCAACGTCCTCACATGGCACAGGATACATTTCTTGTGTTAAATAACCCCATCAGAAATAATCTAACGGCGCTAAATCGGGCGATTGTGGTGGCCACCAGCAGGAGCCTGATCGTCAATTTATCCATTGCCAACCCAATTTTCAGAAATTTCTGCTTCAACTCTGAAACAACTCGAACATTGTGTGGGGGTGCCCCTATCATAATATATGAATGTTACGGGATTCATCAATTAGGATTTCTTTTAGTAGAACCCGCAACTCATTATAGAGAAAGTCTATGTTCCTCTGTTAAGTTAATGCCCCTTCTTAAAAATGGAGTTCAATAATTCGGCCATTAAGTAATCCAGGGTGTTCTTCGAATACTGTTTTGCAAATCCAGTAGCGGAGTTTCCCTGTTATCGAATCTAAACTGGTCGCTTTACGAAATTACGTTTGTTAACGTTTGATACTATATGTGTGTGTCCCTGAATTGACTGTACCACGCTTGACCACAAATTCGTGAACCGAAGTTTCAGTATAATTCAAATCCAAACCAAATTCAATCTTACTCCATTTTGCCGCTACAGGGCTCCAAAGTTCTCAACTAAATATCGTTTTTTTAAATGGCTTTATCGATTTTCACTAATTTTAGAATCAACAGTTATTACATAAATTTTGTAATGCGTGAAAATATTTAAAATAATGCTTGGATGGTTACCTAATAATTGTTCTCATTTTTATTAGCCTCTGTACAAGTAATTGTTTTTTCCTCTACTAGCTGAGTTCTTCTTGAAACGTTTTTGCCTCTTGCAAAGTTTTCGTCAGACATACAGTTTCAGTGGAAAAAAATATTTACAATACTTTGTAGATCATGATTCTTGTGAAAAGCTCAACCGGTTTAACGCTGCTACATTTTCTTCTGTAGGGCTCTCTTAAATCAAAAGTGTATGCTTTGCCCGTCGCAACAGACGCCGAGTTACTGGAAAGGATTTTCAATGCTGCAAATTATTTTGAAAATAAACCTGACACGATGCTCAAAGTACACCCTAATTTTTTGAAAATAAATTTATGTGTTCGGGATAACGGCCAACATTTTGAAAATTTGTTAAATAATTAAATTATTTCAATTATTCAGAATTAATAGTTTACCATTTTTTTTCGCTCTGCATAATTAAGAATCTCAATTGCAAGGTATCGTAAATAATTAGTAGTACAGAAACTGTACGTCTTACAAATTTTTTTCTGACGCAAAAGTTCCAAAACAAGATCACTTAACAGCAGAACAAAATTTATTTGTAAAGGGAGTAACAAAAGTACGAACAATTGGAACAAACGAAAAACGATATTAATTTGCGAATTTTGACGCCCTATTACGGTAAAATGCAAAAAGTAAGTAAGTAGACCGTTTTATTTTCGGGTAAAGAATCTGTAGAGTAAAGTAGCCGATTGTGGAATACTGTTTTGTTTTTTGGAAAGAAAAATAAAAATGAAAACGTTACTATTATTGTACGTATTCTGGAATATAAATAGATTGAAGTGTTATAAACAAAAAACCAAAATAATTATAATTATTATAAAAAAAAGTATGTACGAAAAGCTATTTAAAAACAAAGTGCACTTTTTTTCAGCTGAAAAATGGGTGGGTAATGTGAAATACCAATATACGCTAACGTGGAATAGGTTTAATATTAGACTTGATTTTAAAATAATTTATGTTTTTTATGTAAAGCAACAGATTATTGGAATGTAACATACAATTTATTTTATTATATTATCAAATTCCAAAAAAAAACAATGAATTAACATAAAAATTAGTAATAGTAAGAGTAACTTAATAGAGAACAAAATAGCTACGAAAAAAATTCACGGATGTATAGGTCTTTTTCGGCATTGTTGTGTGCAACAATGTACAGGTGCCCAATGTACAGGTGTCATGTGTGCCCAGCAGTTGCACATGGCACACATAACCCATATTTCTCCGCGAGTATCATTTTGCATGGCAAAAGGAAAAGCAATAGAGCATAGGTCCCGCCTTGTGAAACCAAAAAACGATTTTCCTTTAACAGAATGTACTCTACCAGTTTGGTTTCTAGCTCTTTCAAAGTCTCTTTTTTAATATTTTCTACTTCTTTATCATTCTTGCAGTATCGCAATAATGTAGAGCGCGGTTGTTGTAGTGTTTGGTATCCTCCAAATAGCCCATTGCTTTTCTCCGTACCGCGTCTACCGCCATTCTCATGATTTTTACAGTCCATTTGTGTTCCTTTACATTTCTGAGAGGTATTTTCTGAAATAAAATATTTTCAAAAAAGCCTTTTATGTGGAATATTCCATATTCAGACCCTACACAATTCCACAATACCGACGTTTCAAATATTTATAGAATATATTTGTAAAACATTAAAAATAAAATATTAATGAAATCTTTAACACCGTTCACAATCACTCACTACGTAATTCCGTTATTATTAAGCACAGGCCTTACAATATCAGTAACCGATTTAGTCTCTTCAATTTTTGTCTCTGTATTCCAAATTGTTTCCTCTGTGGGTCGATTATGTCGACCGCAATCTGCTCGTAAAGCCCTAAACGTTGATACAGCAGAATCACCATTTTTATAGTAACATTTATTAATTTTTACGCGTTCTTCGACAGTTAAACGATCCATATTCCAAAATGGCAAACCTTCAGCTAAAACAAAAACGTCTTTGACAGATATCAAATAGCAAGATTTTACTTTCCCAACCTCCAATTGGATAACCCCTAACAATGCTTTGATTTTCAGCAGATGTAAATAAAATAAAAGCTTCAACATAGTGTTCCCTATGTTTTCGGTAACAGTTAAGTTTGATTTTTTAATATATAAATATGATATCAAGCAAAGTTGCTAACTTTTTCTCAAGCTATATTCTAGCAGCTCGTTTTCGCTTAAGTTTAACATACCATATCCAGACAGCTATAGGCCTTCCACAGATCTAGCATGTTGTGAAGAGCTGCTTGTCCCGTTTGACGGCGATTACAGGTAGTCTGCCGAAAGGAGCCCAGTTACTTTATGAGAATTTTAGAAAATCCGTGTACGCCTCTTTCGCACGTATTGACCAATATTTCGATACGCGCAACGAGTCTTGCGAAAGTATGCAGAATATGTGCAATCTAGACACTAATTTAGTAAAAATATTATTGTGTTCCGATACAATTGCCGTTAGTGGGCAACAGATAATCAAGAATGGGATGATGGAGGTTCATAACCAAAACCCCCATAAAATAAATGTGTGATGTGAAATAGTGCGCGAAAGAGTAACAGGACCATTTTTCTTTAAACAGTGTTTAGACAAGAATTTCTAGAATGTTTCCCACTAGAATTAATGCCAGCATTGGTAGCTTTATCGCCAAATCCATTAGAGCCAGACTCTCCTGACGAAGAACTGACTATCCGACAAGATGGTGCTCATCCACACTGTGTTCCTATTACATACGTACATTTTTGGGAGAACCTTTTCAAATCGGTGGATACGAAAGAGAGGCCTCCTAGATTGCCAGACCTAATTCGAATAGATTTGACAGGCCAAATAAGCTGCAGTAGTTCAAAGAGAAGATTCGAAAAGAAGTGCGTGCAATAACTCCGGTAATGGTTGAAAATGTATGTGAAGAGTTGACTGACCGACTTGACAATTTTGTCAAGCCATAAATAAGACATTTTGCACATTCAATTATTTTCTTGAAATAAGTTGGTTCGTTTCAGGAATGCAACAATTGTCAGTATTAATTATTGATAGATTCAATCGAAAATTTCTCGGTTATCGTTGAGATTGAGCACATGAATTATATTTAGAATCCACTCTAAATATTTCAATCTATCAAATTATTCTTCTTCGGTCGATTTTTGGACATAGGCCTCCCCCAGTCTTTTCCACTCTTTCTTGTTTGTCGCCATGTTTACCCATCTAGTTCCGGAGTGCTTCTTCGGGTCATCCGTCCACCTTATTTAGTGTCTTCATCTACTTCTTTTATTCTCCAAGGGGTTCCAGTTTAGAATGCATGTGTTCCATCGTTCGTCTTTTTGTCTGATATTGTGACCGGCGAATTGCCAATTTAATTTTGCCGTCTCTTTTCTAACATCTCTTACTTTCGTTTTATTTCACATCCATTCGCTTCTCTTTCTATCTGTCAATTTTACATGTAACTAGTGACTTGCATGGTCTTGGTCTTGTCTTGTTCTTGTAAACATAGTCTTGGTCTTAATCTTGGTCTTGCAGCAAGACTCTTGCAAGTCTTGCTTTTATATAAGCCGTAAAATTAGACGGAATTAATTTAGTAATAACAATATTACTAATTAAATTAAAATATAATAATAATCAATACGAAACAATAAAAAAATCTCAGACTATTTGCTATGCCGTCGCTATTCCGTAATTCGTCCAGGATAAAATTATATTAGGTACTGTTTATTCAGCAACTGTATACTGGCAAGGGATATTGGAAAATTAATTATTACAGTGTAAATTGTAAACTGTTTATCGAAATTTATTTTCTACTTGAGGTTTTACTGTTTTATAGAATGTGCATGATAAAGACATTAGTTAACTAATACAATTTGAAATTTACCAAAAACTGGCAAATTTATTTTTACAAAAATGAAAAGTAATTTTCTAAATTCAAATTGGTAACTTTGTATATTGTCTATCTAATGACGTATTAATATACAGATACTTCCATTTGAAAAACAAAAGTTATATTGCGATGAAAAGTTTTAGATTGAAGTCCACATTGTTAACTCCCCGTCCAATGTATTAATATTTTGCTTCAATAGAATTCTTAACGGATCTGTGGCAGGAGCGGATCTACCTTTACCGAGTAAGGGAGCGGGGGTCATGTAGTAGAAATTTAGTCTTTTGTTGTCCATGAAATTAGAAAAATGACCCCCATGACCCCCCCTGGATCCGCCCTTGATCTGTGGTGATTGGACGGACGTATTTTTTTGTGTCTTAAACTTCCATTTTTAGATACCATGTTGTTAAGCAAAATTTTACTAAATTGGCGATAATCTGCCAACGTCGCAAGTAAGAAAAAAACAATTTAGGGTGCATATGCAACGTTTCAAGCTGCATTCCATGAACTAATGAAAAATGGGTAGTTCTATTTAAAAAAATTCACTTTATCATATAAGATATTTTGAAAATGTGCGCACTTTGTGCGTCAACAACTTTTATATGAAACTATATTGCGAAAGTTCAACACCATCCGAAACAATGGACCCTATCGCACTAAAAAACCACCCTGTATGTAATTTTTGACTGAAAACTGTTTCACGTCAGTAATCCGGATTATTTACTAATCGGCATCAAAGCAGTTTTAATTATTATTCCGGATTACCGAGGATGCTCTGTATTTAGAAAAAACTTAAAAGTTCTTAAAACTTTAGCAATCTGACACCCTACTTCGATATTTATGGTAATAAATTTTAAAAAATCTTGGTATAAGTCACGAATAGGAGAGTATAAAACCGGCACACAAAAATTTGTAAAATGCCTAAGTAGGTATGCAGAAAGCAGAATACTGAAGTAAGTATTTTAATATTTTAATTGGACCAAAACCTACGCATCACTTAGTCATTTAAAACGGTATCCTAGAATCAAACTTCTATCTTTATTAGGCTAACGAGTAAAGCACGCAGAATTAATTCTACTACCTTTCGAAAAGCGAGCTTCCCTTATACATTTATATGTATACACTGAATCTCATAACAAATGGTTTTTCAAACTCTGTCTACATATACCTAATAAATATTTTAATGGAAAGCTTCATTTAATTTTAAACTTGGGTTTAACTAGTCAAATTAAAAAAACACGTAACGTAACACCAATTTAAATATAGTCGACCACTGGTATTCCGCGGATCACATTTTGGCCAAGCCTTCATACAGAATTAATACAAAAAACATAACTAAGTAAATAATTCATTCCAAGTAGTATGCAAATGTCTGATCAAATTCTGCCCTACAGTGAACCGTTTTCAAAATACAATGTGTTGAATTGTTATAAGTCAAGTCATCACAATTTCAGTTTAAAATCGCCACATATACTACTGCAAATGGCGACCTCTCGAAACATAGTCTCGCTCTTCTTAGGGGATATCCGGCAAATGAGGGTTCTATAAGGGATTCACCGTTTTAAAGGGTGTTCCAATAAGAACGCCGAGTGTGAGTTTTTAATAAAACCGATTTATTTGTGGCATGAGTTTGAAACATTTATTGAATAATGAAGTACCCATCACAAGGTTGTGAATGGAATTGGATCAGACAAATTACTATTTCCATGAAATTTGGAGGACTGTTGCGTATAAATTTGCGATATTTCAATGAAGGGGCATTGAAGTACTTTATAGCAACACTGTTTTTATAGCAACAAACTTTAGACAGTTTGCTGATGAATAGAATCGGATGATCAGAAGGAGAAATTCATCGGGGTCGCAGCCGCAGAATTTACCATCCATTGTGTGGAAAAAATGAAGCCATTCTTGGGTTACGTGCGTGCGAAACGGTGCTGAGTCTTGTTGGAATGTCCAGCGATTTCGACATAAATTTTCATTTGCCCAGGGCTGCAATACACCATCTAACACTTTCTTATGATAGATTATCGCATTAAATTTGATTCCATGATCCTAAAACACGAGCGAACAGCGTCCATCGGCAGTCACTGCGGTCCATACCAACAAATATGATGGAGTTTGCTTTCAGGTGACCATTGGAAGGTGTAACTTTTCGTTTGATCTCTCCTTTAAGTAAACTTATCATGGTGGCTGTTAAAATATATGAATAGTGACAATAATCGCCGCTAGTTCGTGAGATACTCGCCAGGTAAATAGGGAACACTTCTGATCAGTCACCGTGCATATTTGTTTGTTTGTTAAATTAAATTATTATTCGTAAAATTTAAAATTATTAATAAGAATAATAAAGTATATATATAATAATATATATATTATTAGATATATACATATATGCTTTCTTCAGGTTAGGATATAGTTTTAATTTAATTTTGGTAGTAATCGGTTTACACTTTACTAGTTCCTAAGTATGTAAATTTGTGGACCTTTTTAACCTCAACTCCATTCAATTCCAGTTTCGCCTCTGGGTGAGGGTTACGACTATAGACCAAAAACTTGGTTTTACTTTCATTTATTTTGATGCCCATTCCGTCTCCTGCTTCGTGGATTCGATTTAGCAGTATTTGGAGACCTTCGATGTTGTTCGCGAAGACTTCTGTGTCATCGGTGTTGTCATCATGTGGTTGATCCTCAAGTGCTGTCTGAAATAAAAGATTAGAATATAAATTGGACAGAGTTGGAGACATATTACAACCTTGTCTAACTCGTCGTTGTATGGATATTTCGTTACTAAGACTGTTACCAATCTTAACGTTGGCGGTTTTTTTCCAGTACAAATTCTTAATGCTACGAATATCTCTATCATCGATTCCCGACTTTTTCAGAATATCTATTAATTTGGTATGTTGCACTTTATCAAATGGCTTTTCAAAATCCACGAAGCATGCAAAAATGTCCTTTCTTTGATCGCGGCACTTCTGCAATCGGACGTTCAGCGCAAAAAGCGCCTCCCTAGTTATTTACATTTTTCGAAAAAACCACCCTTGTCTTTGAGTGACAATTGTGTTGTTTTTTTTTGGTATTTCGAAGGTCTACCTATAGGTAGATCAGACATAAGAGTGGATTCAGAGAGACACCTCGGTTATTCTGCAATTTTCAGCGCTTTATCGATAACGAGACCAACAAGTTACACGGTCCATTTTAAAGTAAACATTACTGCAATTAAAACTACCGTCTATGCACTTCCAAAATATGAAAAAAGATCAGGACAATTGTTCGTGGAAGATAAGGGTATTTTTTTCGAAAAAAAAAACAACTAACATAATATACCTTTACAAATGTACCTAAATTAAATCATTTATGTACGAGTAAATAATGGAAATCGGGGTTTCGCCATTTTGACGGTTAATTTGAGGTTCTGTGAAAAAGTACAAGTTTTATATTTTTTTTCTTTAATTTTTTTTAATTCTAAAGTTGGAACCTCAAACACATTTTCCACCTAGTCCTTGCCTGTTATTAATTTTTTTGCTCTATGAAAATTGGTACTGGCACTAGCTTAGTAATAGTCGGTGACTTTAAGATGAAATTCGTGAGTTCTTCAGTAAGATTATGCCGTGTCGTAACTAAATCCTCCATTAAAGTTAATTTAACTATTAATTAATTAAAGTTAAAGTTCTCTGTTTTACCAAACCATATTCTGGAAAAAGCGTTATGGCTGTCATATTTTCAAAAATGCACTTAAAACATGTGTTCATTCGAGACACGTGTAATTTTCAATTGATAATGAAGGCAAATAAAAGGTATCTTTTCGGCATTAACTTCCGACCAGTAATGCACCAAACAATGTAGGATGCCATTGGAATTTTATCCAAATGATACACACGTTGCTACCATATTTATAACCGGGCAATAAAATGAGACTTAATTTATCAATTAGATTTGGTAAACACGAAATGTACTGATAATTGTTCATAATTAATCAAACCGACCATAGTTATTTATTGCAGATGCTATACGTTTCTGCAGATTATGATATTGGTGCTAATCTAAACTAACCTACCCATTCAAACATTATTTCGCCATCGGTTTAGAGATTTTTAATTCCGGTTTCTGTTTTATGAGTACCTACATTTATAAGCTTGTCCAAGTTGGAAAGTTTCAAGTGTGGTATCTAAGGGTCAGTTTTCAGAGGCAACGTCAGAGGTATCAACAAAGATTGAATGTCGCGGCAATTCCTTGGCAATATTACGTTTTTTTGGGCCGTCGTGAATTATAATGCATTTCTGTGGGAATGTGTAAGATTTTGCGGAAACCACATCTGAAGATGTTAGACACTCGTGCTTGCGAAACGTCAAGAAGCCATTATATTTCTCGAGGGCGCAAAAAAGCGCAAAACTCACCTGTGGCAGCATCAGAGATGTTTCTCAGAAATTCGTACGTTTGAAAACGCGCTACACCTTGTTCCTGAAACATGTTTCTAGATGATGTGAAAATACCGTCCAAAGTTTTTAAGTGCTAACAAGTCTACTTTGTGATCAGAGTAAGATTTTATACACATAGAGATATTTATTGAACCCCGTACGTTAGCCTATACATTTTTCTTTAGAATATTCTTGAAATAGTAACTTTTCGGATGTATAGAGGGACTGACGTGATCGGCGCTTGCTATATATCGCTATCTAATACGCACGTTAACAAGAATTTAGGAGGGTAAACGTTTTAGATGAAGAAGTCTCCTATTCAGATTTTGCACCATCTGTAAACTAACAGTCACTTTGTAAACACATAGTAATTTTAGGTGTCAGTGGGACCTCCACTGATTCTGGAGTGGAAACTCCACCATCTCCGCAAGACCACCATTTCTACCCTCATCAGCCCAACCCGCCCGAAACGTCAATAATAAGCACAGAAACCGGTCTGAGCTACACAAATCTGGACTATGCTAATTCAAATAGTTCCATGTACCATCAGCCAGGATACAGCGAGGAATCGTATCCTGGACGGCCTCCACACGACTTACTGCTAAGGCATCATGACGATTCGAGTGATACAAGCTATCCATATATTCACGACTCCAAATATCAGCCATTAGATGATGGCTCGTACCATCATCATCCCCATATTGTCTCGCCTGGACAAGGCAATGTGGCCTGCATGGAATTTCAACAACTTCATTCGAGGTAAAGTACTATCTATGACTTGTGTAAGACGAAGTGAATTTAGAGCTGTTAAGGAATTAACATTTAAGCACGTGGTTACATACAACAATGATCAAAAATAGCAATTTTAATGTCAAAAACAAACAAATTGCGGTACAAGTTGACCCATTTCCGACACTTTTATAAGGTATATCCGTAATTGTTAATGGTCTCAAAGAAAGTGGTAAAAGTGTGATGTGCGCTTTTTACTTTTAATTTTGCACCCATAAGAAGTACAGAGGAATATAAAAAATTGTCAATTTAAAAATTACCCCATCTTTTCTTTAAAAAGTTAATGGACATAAGCTCATTTTGAAGAACACTGTATGTTTTAATATAAGAAGCTAGAATTTTACATTATCTATTCAATAATAAATACAACACAGGACCTTCTGGTTCCTAGACAATTTATTTCAACTTTATTAGTTTGAATCACGGTAAGACATGAAGCAACAGGTAATATCCTAGAAACTAAACTATGCGTTAATATCCTTCTGAAAAGGCATTTGATAGAAAACAAAGATTCAGATTGAGTTTTAATATAAATTAAATCATCGCAAATATTCGAAAACTTCTCCGTTGTTCTCAATGCACTCTTGGGATCTTTTCTCGAACGGATTTCAAGGCATTCATGAGGTGTAAGGTTTTATTTCTGCAAAGGCCTCCCAAAGATATCTCCCATTTCCCAAAACCAAAAAAAAATATTCTCTGGTCAAGTTGTTTTCAGGATTTCTTAATAAATGTTATTTTCCAACATTCCATAAAGAAAATAATCTGGAGGTACTAGATCCGTTCATCGTGATGGCCACCTTATTCAACGGATTCTAAAATCAGAATTTCAAGCTACTACAATCACTCTTACTAGCAGAGTGTTTTCGTTGCGGCTCGTGTTGAAAGTAAATCTACATCTTACTTGCCGATTATCGCTATATTAGCTTGTCTTATTGGACTTGTGTAGAGCAAGAGTTAAGAAATTACATTACAAAAATATATATTTTCAATTTAAAACTGAACAATTTTTTTATTCCACTTTTATTGAAATCTTGTATTAAATCCTACCAATTTGAACGTTCTAAAATACTTGCGTCTTTTAAGCACACGTTCTCACTCTCCCGGATTATCACATCAACGTTCAATATTCAATTTTTTTAGATTATTTTACACACCAATCAGCTTTTATGGCATTCTTAACGGCTATGGGTTTTCCACGTTCATTGTTATCTAGTATATTTGTGTTTAGAGTCTTAAAACTCGGATTACGGTTTACCTGGGTACGTTTATATACTTATAAATCAACTGACTGATTTAATGAGAAATGCGTTATCTTAAAAAATGTGTTTTTGTTTCAGGTACAAAGAGGAAATGTTGGGTAATGACAGTAGAATGGGGCGACACCATGGAATTCATCCCATGAGCAGTGGCCAACCACAGCATCCAGTTTTACCAACTTACAAATGGATGCAAGTAAAACGAAACATTCCCAAACCTAATGGTAAGTACAAGCAAATGTTTAGGTATTACTAACACTACATTTCGGTCATAAGTATCAAAAAAGTTTTATTTTTGCGCCTATTGCTTAGAAGTGATGAGTTTTTCGAGAATTTACACCGTCGCAGAGAGGAATTACTTCGTGAAGTTGTGCAAACATGGGTGCAATACGTCTTCAGGGTGATCGCTTCTCGAGCGAAGCGCTCGGAATGGACCGAAAGGTTCGGAAGGTGCAAGCAACTTGCCAACTGGTGGAAATACTTTTTTTTCCTCGTCGTCTTAAAGGCCTGAAAAACTTACTTATTTTGATATTAGCATATTTTTTTATTCCTTACCGTCAGTACAGAGTGGTGTTTGCCATAACGAGGCAAAATACGTTTTTGCCTTGTATCAAAAGCTTGCGGGATGCTGTCCCATTCAAGTAATGAAATCATATATTTATAACAGAACACTCTATCACTGTCTCTGAGTAGGCCGACGGAGTGCAGAATCCTCTACGAAAGGAGGAGCACTTAAGTCTTGGTTTAAGAATCACTTTATGATTTATTGAGTGTCCGATGGCTTGAATTGAAAATGAGTGCAAAACTTGGTTATAATGCCTCTCGGTAACATGGAGCATATGCATCACGGGATTGTAAAAGCGAGGAACTGGAAATGTTTTAATAATAGCGGCCTATTAAAGGGTATAAGACAATTTTTAGGGATCAATTTCAATGCCGGTAACATCTCCTTGCTGATATAGCAGTCTCTTAATTATAGCAGATAGGTATAGCAGTCTCTTAATTTCAATCTCTTGAGCATTTTTTACTTAGCTTGGAATTGCTGAGAAAGTGTAAGAATTTCTAAGAAAAAAACATGGTATTTATATTATATTGGTGTGTACTGGGGCAATTAACTAAATGTTAATTATTATGTGGCGATAATATGGAATAGTTCTACGGAATTGGGCCAATTCAAAGTAGCATTTACTTATATTTTATGAAGACAAAAATTTCGTCGGTTATATCCGAGCAAGACATCATGTAAGACGCAAGTGCAATTATATTTTATATTTTTGCGTTCCTATAATTTTTCCAAATTTTGAAACAGGATTCTAGAAAAAACAACACTACATTTGCTTGAATACGGGATAAATTTATCCGTTCCAAAATATTCATTAACAGGCCAGTTTTCTGATGAGTCTGTGTTTTAGTTTTACCATTTTGATTCTAGGCACTAGGCACTAGCCGATACGAATTTTCATATAGTAAAATAAATTTAATAACAGGCGAGGACCAGGCGGAAAATTTTGTTGAGGTTCCATCTTTAAGAAAAAAATTATTTTAAACACGAAAATATTGGAAACTGTGAAATACTGATGCAGTTTAGGGATTGAAAATGATTTATTGAGATTTGCGGCGAAATCTGACCTCCTAGTGGAAAACGACCAATGTCAGAGTTGTATGTCCCCATTTCAGCATTTCCACTTTCTGCCTGTTTAATTTAATTTTTTTTAAAGGTGCACAAGAACATTTCTGACCTGGTTCTTGATTGTTATAAAAAAAACTGTTTGCACTATCCTATTCTTACTTCGGTTATATCTAAATTAAACTATTATTAGACTAAAAATGTATACGTGTAAATTCAGAACAAATGATTATGTAGTAAGTAAGTTTTGTATCAGGTAGACATTATTGCTCAAAATATTGACCGTTTGCGTCAGTACCAATTTTTATTTTTGTATGCAATAAAGTAACCAATTGTCTGTGAACGCCTAAAATGTGAAAAATCCATAATAATTGTTTAAGGGCTTTTACATTTGGACAAGAACGATTTCTTTGAATACTTTAACAACGTGTAGCTCGAAAATGTTGTGTTTCCAGACATACTTTTGTAACGGAAAACATGCTTCTCTAAATGTCCCATAACACCCCTAAGAACGTTTCAATTTATTGATGGTAACCTCTGTTATTATGACGTGATTGTAAAAATGTTGAAGAGTACTAATGGATAAATCTGTTAAGATGAGCTATACATACAGGGTGATTCAAAATTGGCGTCATTCCTCTGGAGGTGTTGTCTGGCGCTGTTATAGGAGTACAGAAAAAAAAAGTAAAAGAAATTAATTGTTATTAAAAACTAAGAAATTTGCAAAAAAACTATATCAGAGATACGGCAGTAATGTTTTTCAAGGTAATCTGCCTAATTAACATTGCGCAAATACCTATTACTCCGTAATTATTTAAAACTACTGTAACCATAGAATTATACAGTGACACTAAGATAGACAAGGATAAACGGTCAACTCAACAGGAATCGTTGAATCACGGACCGTACTTTCGAAATGTCAACCTGTTCTCATAACCTCGAATTCTGCGGGGTTTGGTGTTTACATAAATAATTCATACATCGAACATTTGAATTGTTAACTCCATACAAGCTAGTGCCTGTGTAAACTCCTTATTATCCACTTTATCAAGCAGTTTTTCGTATTCAGTTAATTAACTCCTGCTCCATTTGTATGTATCTTCTTGTGCTGTGTGTATCTTACAAACGTGGTAGGAATGTAGCCCTTTCTCTCTATTCATTTGGTGCTCGGGAAACTGTCAGTTATAGTGCTCTGAGAACTCCTGGAATGCCCTGATTCGATTATGTCCAATACTTGTTTCTCTGTGCCTGGAACCCGAACATCGACTGTCGTCCACTGTCTTTCTGGCTCTCCTCGCCCTTTGTTGGCGTGAGTTCTTTCAGCATCTGCTATGTTACTGTAGCATTTCCCCTGAACTAATCGCATATTCGCAAACTCGTGAAAGGAAATTCAAAGTAAGTCACAGTTTGACAAATTATTGTTATTATTGACAAGGGCTATCCACTTGTAACTATCTGTTAATGACAAAAAACATCATTGCCGCTGTGCCTTTTCATCAAAAAATTGTAGAAGAGATCCTTTTTGATGCCAAAAATTTTCGTAATTTGAAGCAAGGATCGTAATTTTCCTTTTTGAATGCTTAAGTATTCCAATATGCTACCAATTTAACATGGAACTATTTCAAAATTATGCGTAATGACAAAGTTGAAATTCTATCTATGAAATTTCGAAAAAAAAATTTTCAATATTTTTAATGTACTCCCCAAGGAATTTTTATCATACTCCTCTAGCACCCTTTAAAAGGAATGACGCCAATTTTGAATCAACCTGTATAGATTTAATTTTTTTTAAAATTATATTCTCCTACGTTAAGAAAAATAGATAATACATTTTCTGACCAAAAAATAAAAAATAAATCCTTACCATTTAAAATTATTTTTTGATATAACAGTGTAATTTTATTTATAAAGACTATGGAGGAATTGAAATGGAGATTTCAATAAAAATTATACAAAATGTATTTTTTATATTAGTTTCTTTCATAAGGCACCATCGACTATATACTTTAATCCACTTGCCGTTCCAAAACCATCCTTTTCAGTAGAAATAAATATGAGTTTTATTAGAAATTCAATCATTTTGATGCTTTCTTAATAAAAACCCAAAATGGAGTCAAAATATGTTAAACGTTGCCATAAAAATATCGACCAATAAGTATCATTATAATCTAACTAATCCCACAGAATTTGCACTTTGGATTCATTGATACATTTATCTATTTAAAATATCACCTCTTGTTCAAAGATCTATATATCCGGCATATTGTTTCGCGCCCAGTAGGTATGTATATCAAACAACTACCCACACGATATCGCATCTCTATAAAATGTTTACTTAACGCCTGTTTATATCGTATTTGCTCTTTTTTGTAGACAAACAGAAATTACATTTTTAAGTAAACAACAAGACACCATGAGCGAGTCACTTTGTTCTTGTGACCTACGATAATAATACCTAAACATATGTTTTTATGTTTATCTTCTGATTTTAAATATTGAATGTGCCGTCAATTTGTTTGCTCGAAAACAGGATATCAACGTGTCAAGCGTAGAAGTGATAAGATGGCAAAAGTTAATACCTTTAACATTTACATACATTCATGAGGAAGTCCACATAAGTATGTTTATGTACACATGCATCTAGGAAGTTCCCATGAATTGGAAATCGTATTTTATTCATGTATACTAAAGAAAGTGACAATATTTTCAGTACAACTGTTGTGAAATATGAGCGTCGATAGTAAAGGAATTTGACTATTCAAAATTACTAGTTGGATCAAAGTTGTTTCTTTTTTCAAGCGGAATCTATAGATGGGTCGGATTTCAAAAAAATATGTCAGGATGTTCCAAAAAGCTATCAAAATTTTCATTTGGAAGCTTCAATGAGTCGAATTCAAACTCTCATGAGTTTGGAGCATTTGTACTTTCTGAGTATTATTGAACTATTGAACTTGACAATATAGGTTTAAAACCAATGTATTTCAAATAACACTCGTCCGCGTATATCCGACTTGTACAAAATTTTATTGACTAAATTAAAATATGATTTATTATTTTATGAAGTATTTTACGTCAAAGAACAATTATAACAATTAATCTCGAAGTAAGACGAATACGCCAAAATTCGTGAAATATGCAGAATTGGTTTTTATTTTCATACCCATGTAGACTTAGATAATTAGTTATTTACAAAACCTGTGATACCTTCTGGGAGGTGAATTACAAATGACAGGACTATTTCTACGCCAATTCGCTAAACACGCATTCATATACTAAAACTATAATTTACGTATACAAACTTCGACTTTTTATGTATGTACCATTTCAATGTGCAAAAATTCTCAATTAGTATTAAGTCAAATCACTGTCGATAGATATACCTTTACCTGGCCAGGCTGTAATTGTTTAGGTGCTAGCTCCAACACTTATTTTTGGCTGGGTCAGCTAGCCGTGGGTATTTTTGGATAAGAAGGCACTTGTATTATTCAACTGTATGTATTTGTGAGAACAGGCAGGCTCCTTGTTACGAGCAAGGTTCAAAAGTCATCACAAAATGGGGGTGAGATCCACCTTTTATATAAACACGCCACCTCTCCG